GTTGCAACTGCTGAACTTAGAAGGCAGTTTATACAAAGGTAGTAGTAAATATTTTTAAATTTCAACTGAGAATATAGCTCAGTGCTAGCCTGCTAGCCTAATGTTTGTACAGAAGGCACCACACAGAAAAAAATAAATGAAAATAAAAGGTCCACAGGGAAAAGGGAAAGGGGAAAAGGCCCATAAGAAAAGAATACAATGGAAAAGCAGCAGGCATTCTGGAAGATAGCTGTGTCACTGTTTTAGAGTGATCATCAGTATGGTAGGACTCTACACAGGAACACTGACTGAGAAGTAATATTTAGAGCCTAAGAACAAATCATCGGAGGTTGCGTTGCCTCCTTCCCCAGGAAAAACATGGGAAGTGAAAGCTGTCCCTCATTCTGGTGTGTCTAATGGGCAGGCCTTTGAGTCTCCCTGGGCTGAGGCAGCTGTGGCCTGGTCCACCTGCATGGAGCCACAGCGACCCTAACCAAGTCACAGGCAGGCACTTCTCAAGGCCGAGGGCACCACTAAAAGATGGCATAGGGAGGTGTGTAGAAAACAACAGGAAGCCTTTCTGGTAGCGGATGTAAGTACAATGTAAATTGTTCTTAGAAAACAAGAACGAAGCCAGAATGAAAGTAACAATGACCAGAGTAACAATGGGTGTCACCCAGGAATTCTACCCAGGACTGCAAAAAATATGGGAATTTCAAAATCCAAAAGGCTAAATTAGCAAAATAGTTGTTTAAAAAAGTCACTATAAGCCGGGCATTGGTGGCACACGCCTTTAATCCCAGCTCACAGCTGTCTGTAACACCAGTTCCAGGGGATCTGATTGCTGTCACACAGACATACATGCAGCCAAAACACTGATGCACATAAAATAAGAATAAATAAATCATTTTAAAATGTTTTTAAAAATCTTTTTAAAAAGTGCTTTCTTCCTGCCTTTAATCCCAGCACTCGGGAGGCAGAGGCAGGCGGATCTCTCGAGGCCAGCCTGCTCTACAGAGTTAGTTCCAAGACAGTCTCCAAAACAATACAGAGAAACCCTGTCTCGAAAAAACAAACAAACAAACAAAAAAGTCACTATAACTGTGCAACAAAGGACAAGAAGGATCAAGGTTTGATATGGGGTAATATCTCATTAAACCAAATCCCTCAGACACTTCCTAATCATTGCCTGTGTAGTAGCCTGTTTGCTAAGTAATCTGCCCATGCTAGCCAAAGCTAGAGTTGATTGAGCCCCAAAGCCAGGCCAGAGGAACATAAGCCAAGTGGAACAACCAAAAAACTTTAAAACCTGAGGAATGGATGGACTCCAAAGACTCCAGTTCTCATTATAATTCAGAAATCTAGGACATGTGAGAATCAGACTTCCGGGCCCAAACATTGCAGTTCTACAATTCTGGATGGAAACTGGGCAAGTTGCCTCTACCATGTCCCTGTGATGGGGCTGCCTCACCATTCAGCTCTGAACTGGAGACTCCTGGGAAGGAAGCCAGAGCTGTAAGACACAGAGCCCATGGGCAAGAAGTTTCCCAGAAGGGTAGATAAATGACTGTCTATCCTTCTTGCTGAAAAAAACCTACATAAACTATTTGTATTAAGGAAGAGGGGCACATACCACATACACATACTTTTTTGTTTATTTATTTGTTTGTTTCAAGACAGGGTTTCTCTGTGAAACAATCCTGGCTGTCCTGGAACTCTCTCTGTAGATCAGCTGGCCTTAAACTCAAGAGATCTCTCTGCCTCTACCTCCCTAGTGCTGGGATTAAAGGTGTGCGCCACCACCGCTCAACTACACATACTTCTTAAAAGTATAAGCAAGTCAGCAAGGAAATCAGGACCACTCAGGAGGAAACCTAAGAGGAGAGAGAAACCCAGAAGCAGGTAACTGCTGTTAACTTTTATCCTGAGGCCTTTGCAGAACCAGGGAAACCTGAGATTTCTTTTTTTTTTTTTCCCGAAGCCTCAAAAGGCGCAGGGTACAACCCCAGTGCCCAGCCAAGATGGGAAACCTAAGAAAAGTTTACCCCAAGTTCAGCTGGGATTTCCAAAAGATAGACCCAAAAGATAGACCTCAGGGTGAGAGCCAGCCAGAAATAAACCTCATCTATTCCCTTCCCCCAAGAACTATCTTCAGAGAAACCAACTGTGATCCCATCACATAGTGAAACAGAAAATAACTCACCCTAATAATCTGAGATTACAAGGTGACTCTCACATGGATCTGAAATCCAAATCCCACACCCAAGAGACCACAAAATGTTCAGTGCTGTGCACTACTGGTGGCAAGAAGAGTTCACACAACCTTTACCAGGTGGGGCCAGCCAGTCCTCTCATTTATATCCTGGAGCAACACTTGCTCACACAAATTAGAAGCCCTGGACAAGAATTTCACAGAAGTACCATTTCTAGGAGAAAAGAAGGTAAAAGCCAAAGGACTCCTCAGCAAGACCAAGGAAAATGCACTGGGGTATAGTGGGAAAGCCTACAACAGTGGCACATATGTGTATAGTGCCCTTGGAGGCCAGAAGAGCACATGATATCCCCTAGAACTGTCTTTAGATGGTTGTTAGCTATCATGTGGGTGGTGGGAAGCAAACTGGGGTTCTCTGCAAGAACAGTCAGTGATTTTTAAGCTCTGGCCACCTTTCCAGCTGCCATGTTTCTATTTTAAACAGACAGATGTCTCTAAAAGACTGGAGAAGATCATTTCAGCCAGAGTGACCCTACAGGGAGAACTGAATAACTCCCTAAGGAAAACAAAAAGAAGCTTTGATATATCCAGATGTTTATTCCAGATCTAAGTATTACTCAGCCAAAAACCAGAGGCATTTTAAAAGTTAAATACTGTTTGGACCACCAGTTGGTAACCTGTTACTAGGCAGGGTGTCATTGAAACACTAGCCTTGGTGGCCCTGGCTTCTTGGTCTCACCAGTTTTAGAGTGGAGGCAACTCCACCATCTCATGTGACTACCCAGAAAGAAAAACTCTACTCCATCCAAGCACAGGGTCCCTCAGATACTTCTTGCATGGACTCTACAAGTGATGGAGTTCCTGGGCCCTGCTGGGTGGGCTGATCTGGGAAAAATCTCTTCCAGAGGGGCAGTAGCCAAAATGTTCTTTGGGATCCATGAGTCTGAAGAATGGCCTCATTTGCCCTTTACCCCAGAAATGCCCTTAATCTGAGAAGCAAGTCAGCCAGAGAGAGCTGTCAAACAGGCCAGATGCAGGTGACACGGCTTAGTTTATGACTTTCACCTCAAAATGACAGTTGATGCCCCACCTGTCATTTCAGCTGACAAACCTTCTTCCAGTGTCCCAGCACAGGAACCATGAAATCAAGAATAAAAGAATAACAGGAAAGAGAATGTTATTAAAAAGGAGGCTAACAAGATGGCTCAGTGGGAAAAGAGACTTCCCACCAAGCCTAAAATCTAAGTTTGATCCCTGGATCCTACTTGGTAGAAGAGAACCAACTCCTACAAAATGACCTCCACATACATGTAAACACACACACATAGACACATATGAACACAAATAATAAATGAAGCTTAGAAACATTAAATCAATAAAAAAATAGTACTGGGGCTTGCTTGTTTATTTGTTTTTAAGAGAGAGGGTTTCTCTGTGTAGCCTTAGCTGTCTAGGAACTCGATCTATAGACCAAGCCTTGAATTTAGAGATTCATCTGCCTCTGCCTCCCAAGTGCTAGGATTAAAAACCTGCATCACCACACCTGACCCAATAAAAGATTTTTTAAAGGGTTGGAAATGTATCTTGGTGGCAGAGCACTTTTCTAACAAGCTCAAGGTGCTAGTTTGAACCACATTCAAGTTAAAATAGTTAGGCCTGTTGTGGTGGTACATGTCTTTATTCCCAGCACTCAGGAGGCAGTTTCAGGAAAGGGGATCTCTGTGAATTCGAGGCCAGCCTGATCTACACAATGAGTTCCAGGACAATCAGGACTATGTAGAAAGACCCAGTCTCAAATAAAGAAGTAGATAGGCAAGCAAGTAAATAAACAAGTGGGGGAGCCCTCTAGAGAGCTGGGGATGTAGCTCAGTGGCAGAGTGCCAAAAAGCTTCCCAAACCTCATGTACCCCAGGGTGGTCCTCAGCTCAAGCATCTCAGGGGCTTCTTACTGTTCTAAGTTGCAACACAGCTGAGGCCCACACAATGGCTTTCCAGCCCTGGCACCTGCTACCCCACAGCAGCACCACTCTCCAGGCCTCCTGAGTGCTATGCAGTAGTGAGCTTGACAGAATCCCCGGGAAGAAGCTGTGTCTGCAAAGGTTGACTGACTGCCTAGAAATGCAATGACATGAAAAGGTTGAGACACTGCAGGTCCAGGGCCGAATTACAATTTATCTCAGGCTAGCTTCCACCCCTAAGAAGTCATGTGTTGTCCACCTATGTGTCAGACCTAACATTCTGTGACTAACACATTAAAAACATTAGGGAAGGCATTTTTTTTTGTTATTATTCTTGATTTTGGTTTTTCAAGACAGGGTTTCACTGTGTAGCCTTGGCTGTCCTGGAACTCACTCTGTAGACTAGTCTGACCTCGAATGCAGAGATATACCTGCCTCTGCCTCCTGAGTGCTGAAATTAAAGGTGTACACCACTGCCGCCCAGCCCTTTTGAAATCTATTAACTTAGCAGACTACTACCTTCCACCAACCTAAATGCCAAGAATGTTATCAGATAGCATTTGGTGTGTACAGCTTAGACTCCTACATTTTACTGGTATGTACCTCTCTGACATTTCCACCAACGTACTTGAAAACTTTCTTGATTTATGACTTTGTCTGTTACTAAGAAAACTTCATAAAATTACTTCCACATTAGAACATGGATTTGATGCAACCTAAATCTGTATTCCTGGGCCATGACTGCTCATTCCTACTAGGCTCCAGAATAAACTTTCTCTTATCCTTTTTAAAAAATATTATTATTTTACTTTTATTAATTTATTTTTTACATTCCATCTCTCTCTTTTTAAAAAAATATGGAACACTTCACGAATTTGCGTGTTATCCTTGCGCAGGGACCATGCGCATCTTCTCTGTATTGTTCCGATTTTAATATATGTGCTGCTGAAGCTAGCATGACATTCCGTCTCTTATCCTTTTTGAGGTGAGAGAGAGCTGTCTTCTTTTTTTCTTTCTTTCTTTAAATAGGTTTTTCAATGCAGGGTTTCTCTGTGTTGCTTGTCTGTACTCTGTAGACCAGGCTGGCCTTGAACTCACAGAGGTCCACCTGCCTCTGCCTCCCAAGTACTGGGACTAAAGGCGTGTGCCACCAATGCCTGGCAAGAGCTGTATTCTTGCATTGACATACAAATAGCCTCTCTTTGTAGGGATTCCAGCACCTCCAGGTCCACACTTGACTCCTTAAAGATAAGATCAGATCTCCTGTAGCCCAGGTTAGCTGATATACAACTCTGTAGTCAATGATGACCTGAACAACTGATCCAGTTTGCAAGGCTGGTTTTTTGACCACCATGTCTTCCCTCAGGGTGCCATTGCCCAGGGGCCCTCCTCTCCTCTTGCTCAACCCCACTGTGGCAATAGTTCAAGGGCCTGCTCCTATTGAGCACTCTTACTCACAGATAACCCTGAGCCCACAGATCATTGTACTCAGAGTCTACTCTCCACAGGGAATCCCATGGTACCTCCTCCAACAGGGACCTTTCACACAGCCACCAGTGTGACTTTCCCAGAAGTCCAAGGCATAACTGTGTGACACTGCACATGAGTTATTTCATTTGATCTCTTCCAACAACCACATAAGGATGACCCAATGACCCTATTGACATGTGACATATTTCAAGAATCCTTGTAAAATATCAAGACTGAGTTAAGTGTGGTGGAACATGTCTTTAATCCCAGCACTCAGTAGGCAGAGACAACCTGGTCTACTGACAGAGTTCCAAGACCACCAGGGCTACACAAAGAAACCCTGTATTGAAAAACAAACAAATCTGGACTACTAAACCAAGTGTGGGGTACATGCCTTTATTCCCAGAAAATAGGAGGCTAAGGTAACAGGATCAGGAGATCAGGTCATCCTCAATTGCATGGCCAGCCAAGACCCTGTCTCAAGAAAAAAGAAACTTTGTTCTAATATGTTAAATAAAAATTATAGAAGACCACTAGTTTGAATTTTAAGCTCCTAAGCTGGGTCCCAAAAGACTACTGACTAAAAATCAAAGTGGAGTCACTCGTTGATGTTCCATTAAGCTAAAACTAAGCCATCAACCCAACCTTCAGAACAATCAGGATTAGAGAACTAACTGCCAAATTTTGCAAACAGACCAGCTTTGATGGGGATAACGCTGAGGCTCTCTTGGCCTTCCTCCAGGGATCTAATGGTAACTAATCATTTATTTTTCTATTGTTCCGACCCCAAAGTCCCCATCTCATAAGAAAACCTGAAAATGACCAATTTGCCTTTTGGTTTTTGTTTCTTCTGTTTCAGTCATTTTTTTGTCTATAAAACCAATTTTTCCGCTGGGTGTTGGTGGCGCACGCCTTTAGTCCCAGCACTCAGGAAGCAGAGACAGGCGGATCTCTGTGAGCTCAAGGCCAGCCTGGTCTACAGAGTGAATTCTGGGACAGGCTCCAACGCAATACAGAGAAACCCTGTCTTAAAAAACAAAACAAAACAAAAAAATTTTCCAGCCTGGCTCACTGGAACATATATTTTATTTGCCTGGTTCTTGGATCAAAAACAAAGCCAGCTGGGCGGTGGTGGCACATGTCTTTAATCCCAGCACTCGGGAGGCAGAGGCAGGCAGATCTTGGTGAGTTCGAGACCAGCCTGGTCTACAAGAGCTAGTTCCAGGACAGTCTCCAAAGCCACACAGAAACCCTGTCTCCAAAAAACAAAAAACAAAAACAAACAAACAAAAAAACAAAGCCAATTAAGAGTCTTAAACTGACTGTCACAAGTTTATCCCAAGAGCTTCTTCCTAGTAAAGCTGAGTCACTTAATCTCTCTGAACCTGAGGTCTGTCAACAACAGAGAAACTACAGCATTCACCAGTTCTAGTGATATCTGCTCCGTGAAACAATATTAACTATAAAATCACACAGAGAAAGAGAATAGCACCAACACAGAATAGCCAGCTCCATGAGAGTGTTTTGGGGACCTCAGGTTGAGATCAAATCTCAGTATCTGGTTGAATATGGATGGCTGATAGGCAGGGGAGAGCCTGCCATTATTAAATTCTTACATTTAGTCTCTTTTTTTCTTAAATAAGGAACGAATTGCTAGCCAGTAGCACATGCCCTTTAATCCCAGCACTGAGGAGGCAGAGGCAGGAGGAGCTCTGTGAGTTCGAGGCCAGCCTGGTCTACAGAGCTAGTTCCAGGACAGCCTCCAAAACAATACAGAGAAACCCTGTCTCGAAAAACCAAAAAATAAATAAATAAAAAATAAAAGGCTAGGGGGGCTGGAGAGATGGCTCAGAGGTTAAGAACACTGACTGCTCTCCCAGGGGTCCTGAGTTCAATTCCCAGCAACCACATGGTGGCTCACAGCCATCTACAATTCAATCCGGTGTCCTGTTCTGGCATATAGGCAGAACACTGTATATGTAATAAATAAAAATAAATCTTTAAAAAAATAAATAAATAAAAGGCTAGGGATGTAGCACAGTGCCAGAAAGCTTGCCCGGCATACGCAAGGCATTGGGATTCAAGTCTCAGCACCACAAAAAAATGTAAAGCACTTTGACTTATTATTATTTAGAATGTTAACTAATCATTACTAAAGATGGGAGGGCCAGACCATCTACACTCAAGCAATGAAATAATCATAGTTGAAAGCTTTTCCTCACAAGGCACTTACATTCACCTTCAGCCCCCTTGGCTTAAAGGGGAAAATAAGCTATTGAATTTATTGGTGGCCCCTTGTACATGCTTAGTTAGCACTTTTGCCTCAGTTTAATTATGGTATCTCTTTGGGTTGATTCTAGTTGTAGTCCACTGGGTTATGGAGATGTGTAGATCATTTTTCAACAAATTTGGAAAGTTTCTGGCTATTATTTCTTCAAATAGTCTGACCATCTCTTTTCTGTCTAGAATTCTGCCGTGAGTGTGGGTTCATTTGCCCCTCTGATGGTGATCTGCTTGCCTTTGAACTCCTGCTCCTTTCCCTTCTTTCTTCCTTCTGATCCTCAGGTGGGATGTGCTCCACCTGCCTGTTCTCAGGTTTGCTGGTTCATGCATCTTCCTGCTCTGCTGCTGATTCCCCTCTAGTGGTAGTTTCCACTCTAGAGCCTCTCTGTGGTTCTCTTTAGTCCAGTCTAACATATGCTGATGATCACTTTTCAGAGAAGTTTGTTCTTTCCATATTTTCCTTTGTTTCTCTTGATTTATTTGAAATGACACATTTAAGTCTTTGTCTGGACAGTGGTTTCAATCTGAATTACAACCCCTTTAGGGGGTCACATATCAGATATCCTGCATGCCAGATATTTATACTGTGATTCATAACAGTAGCAAAATAACAGTTATGAGGTAGCAAAGAAATAATTTCATGGTGGGGGGTCACCACAACATGAAGAGCTTATTAAGGGGTCACTGTATTAGGAAGGTAGTGAACCACTGGTCTAGAGTCTACCATCTGGGCTTCCTTACCGACACTTTCTGCCTTTAATCCCAGCACTCAGGAGGTAGAGGCAGGGAAATCTGTGAGTTCTATGCCAGGACAACCAAGGATACACAGAGAAACCTTGTCTCAAACAAACAAAAGAAGGGGGGGGTGCCTTCACAACAAACTTTTAAAGAAAGCAGACAAATAAGCAAAACTCTAATAGTTAAGTACCTTGTACTCAATCTTAAACTCCAAGTACTATTACAAAGTAATATTCTTCTCAGCCTGGCATAGTGACATACATCTTTAATCTCAGCATTTGGGAGACTGAAGCAGATGGATCTTTGTGAGTTCAAGGCCAGCCTGATCTACATAGTGAGTTCCAGGACAGCCAGTACTATGTAGAGAAACCCTGTCTCAAAAAATAAAGAAAGAGGAACTGGAGAGATTGCTGGCAATTAAGAAAACTGGCTACTCTTTTGGAGGACCTAGGTTCAATTCCCAGCATCCACATGGAAGCTCACAACTGTCTGTAATCCAAATCAAAGTGATTTGACATCTTCATGCAGACATAAATACAGGCAAAACACCAATGCACATCAAGTAAAAATAAATAAATCATAAAAAGAGTAATATTTAAAAGAAAGAAAGGAAAAGAAGGAAATAAAAAATACTTTGAGTTGATTATTTAAAAATTGAAATGGGCAGGGCTGGACAGATGGTTCAGCAGTTAAGAGCATTGGCTGCTCTTGCAGAGGTCCTGAGTTCAATTCCCAGCAACCATATGGTGGCTCACAACCATCTGTAGTGGGATCTGATGCCCTCTTCTGACATAAAGTCGAGAGAACACTCAAATACATAAAATAAATAAACAAATTTTTTTTAAAATGGGCTGGGGGGTACAGCTCAGAAATAGAATGCTTACTTAGCTTGCTTAGGACTCCCAAGGTCCTGGGTTCTATCCCCACAAACTCAAAATCAAAACTAAGCTAGATTAAAGCACACTGGAGAGAAGAAACTTGATATACAAAGTTGTAATTCCAGCATCCAGAAAAACATTCAATACAACATTCAAATATAACCAAAATAGAGATGGTGTAGATTTTATATGAAAGTTCCATAGGTCTTGTTCTGTGGTAATAAAACTGAAGTGACAATTTGATTAGGGCACAGGGAGCTATTTTTAAAAGCAGTATCATGTGATCCCAAACAGACTGCATATAGAACAAGCATCTTCTGATGGACATGTGGTGACTTCCCAGCTTCTGCCATAAGAACAGTCATGTGACTGCCTCCACACACTCATTTGATTCACTTCGCTGTGGGCTGCACCTCTCAAATTAGACTGCCGTTTTATTCTTTAAGCTTTTTTTTTTTTTTTGGTTTTTCGAGACAGGGTTTCTCTGTATTGTTTTGGAGGCTATCGGTCATTTTTTAAGCTTTAATCTCTATACCTCCTTCTATTTAAATGTCCTATCCTGTGTTATAGCACATCCCTCTCTTTAAGA